GTAAAATATGCATAGACGGAGCAAATAAACCATTTTACAATGAAACCTTTTCACATTGAAACAGTTTCATGACCATTGTTTTTTGAACTTTGTTTATGAAACTATTCATTACAATATTTTCATTAGGAAATAGAGAGATTATATTATTTCGATTTTTCAACTGTTTTGAAACGTTTGATGAAACTGTTACATCAATAGTTCATTTTCCTTATTCCACTCATATGAACATGATTCATCATTATGAACCTTTTCATTATGAAACAGTTTCATGAAACCTTTTTCATTAAAGTGGATAATATGCCTAGAGTATTAATTTGGACAATATGTCTAGAATATTAAATTATGAACATGCTTCATCATTATGAACATTTTCATTATGAAACAGTTTCATGAAATTTGCCCCATATGAAACAGTTTCATGAACTTTATGAATGAAGTTCGCCCCATATGAACGTCCCATATTAAACAGTTTCATTATGAAACAGTTTCATTATGAATGCCCCATTCAAATCAAGTTTTTAATATTATAATATATTAAAAATTTTAATATGTTACCATTCAAGAAATTTCCATTATTAAATTTYYTTATTTAATATTTATTAATAACTACCTTATTTATCATAAAAATATAGAAAATGACCAAAATACCCTTATTGATTAAATTTAATTAAAAAAGAATGGAATTTTCCTATTGGTCGAATTTGGTTTACACGTTTTCTTAGAATTGCATGGTTTTCATTTGAACTTGTCCCTATATATATATATAGGGAGAGAGAGAGAGAGAGGGGTGAGTTATTATGCACACATTTTACATTTGTACAACCAATACAACTCAATCTCAACCATCCATTTAATTTGATAAATATGTGATTTTATAAAAGTTTAGATTGTTTAATAATATAAAGTATTGATCATAATTAATGAACCTTAATTAGTCATTTTTCATAAATATTCAAATCATAATAAATGAACTTTTATCATTTCTATAAATATCTCAATTGATTTGGTTGTACAAAATGCGATGAATTGCATTTAAAACGTTCTCTCCCTATATTAAACAATATTTATTCAACAAACTTGATTACAACTAAATCATGTGATTTGAATTATTAAATATGACAAAAGAATTATTTTGTAAACCCAAAAAGGTGGAGGAGTAGATTGCAGTCCCTGGCCGTTTCACTTGATGTTCCTCCTCTTTTAACGTTTATGTTACAAATGAAGTCGTCACAAACTGTACGCATCTGCTTCCTTATATTAATTAATCATGGGGCTGATGGATTCCAACTTAATCTTGCACCGTCTTAATTACAATATTTACTTACAAAGGTTTGCATTTATATTCCTTTTTCTATAATCGGATTAGTTTATTAATATCGGATTTATAATATACAAAATAATGTTTAAGTATCATATAATATACTGTTTTATACGACTAAATAATTGTGTGTCACATATAAAAGTGTTACAATAAGTTAACAAAAATGTGTTTAAACAAGTTTTTTAGAACATTTTACAATAAATTATCATATATTAAAATAAATAGGACGCTTTGTTTCAAACGTGTTCTTGAACTTGTTAAAACGTTTAAAAATGTCTTATAAACTTATTGTAACACTTTACATATGACGTACAATTGTTTACATTTAAGTCTTATAAAGCGGCTTATTATGACACATAGACAATTTTGATGTTTTATAAACTTGATTTTGTTGTGATGTGTTCACATCCTGACTAATCTCGTCGGACTTTGAAGTCGACAGTCAACCAAACCTTAGTGGTTATGAGTAGACTCAAACTATTAACCACTAAGAATGTCTGTTGGGTTAGAACATGATGTATGAAATAAAATTGAAGTCGGTTTCATTTAATAGCTAGTTCGGTAAGTAATTGATAAGTTAGGTATTGGCTAATAACTCAATTGATAAACTAGTCATGTTTGTTAAAAATTATTTCGTTCGTCATAAAATAAATGTCCACTTTCTCATTCTACCTTTATTTATGAGATGTATAAAATTTCTTTTCATTAGGTAAAAGTGTCATTTAGTTAATTAAAACATATAATAATTATAAATTCCTAAAACTATGTTATTTTATTGTCAACATTTATTTTGGTGATGGATGAAGTAACTGATAAATTAGATAACAATGTAAAATGACTTGAAATATAATGACTTTTGGTCATTTATGCAAGCTATAAGGGGCAAAATTGTACAGAAGGTGAAAACATATCTTCTGAGAAATTTTTGTTGCGGTTTTAGTGTCAAACCATTCGGTGTAATTGTCATTTACTGAAGATTGATTAAGATGATGAAACATACATAAATGAGTTACGGAGTGCATGCTCACAAATGTGGCCCTATCATCTTCGATAGGCGAGGTCAAGGGGGTCGCACCCCCTTACAGGGTTTGAGGGAGCAGCGTTTCTAGTGGGGTTCCAAGGGGCAAAGCCCCTTTGCGGTTTTTGGAATTTATGGAGAGTTGAACTTAATAAAATTTCATTAAGTTTAAATATGGGTAATGGATTCAGAGATTAAAATGTGCATTCAGACTTATGAATTTGTCTAAGTCCCTAACTCTAGACCATAGAGTCAAAGATCAGACTTATGGTTTCCAAACTTTGGAAAATCAACTAAGTCTCTTACTCTGGACCCTACAGTAAGAGATTTGGACTTCGCGTCCAAACTTGTTGGTTCCAGACTTAGATTTGGAGCCAGAGTTTGATATTGGGAACTCTGATTCGGTTGTAACCACTTAACCACCCGTAACTATCGATCTCTCATTTAAAAACATAACACGTGATCTGATGAATATGCATGTATGTATGTATGTATGTATGTGTGTATGTGTGTATGTGTGTATGTGTGTATGTGTGTATGTGTGTATGTGTGTATATATGCACACACACGTATGCACAAAAGTAATGCCTTATTTCGTGTATGAAATTTCTAGATTATCACTGTATTCATTTCATGTTAACATAAGGCATTAAAGGGGAGAAATACAGTATTTGAAAAGTGTTCTTCAATACACGCTCTAGAAAACTATCAAAGCAATATACAACCACAAACCCAATTTTTCAACATTTATCACAAATCTCATTTTCCATCAAAATGGAACAAATTGTAACATATCAAAACAACCCATCTTTGCGACGATTTAACTCGATTCAAAAGGGTTTTGACAATATAAAAGAGTGTTTAAGGGCAAGATTTGGCCTTCTAAAATCAAGATTTATTATTTTTGCCATGTCCCTCATCAACATCCATCTATATAACTAAGTTACATGATTATATGGAGATAAATTCAAGATCATTTTAATCAAATATATTAGGGTTTTTAATGAAGTCATCACCAACATCATGAACCAACCAAACCCCATTTGAAGTACCTTTGAAAAACCCTAATTAACCAAGAAAAACTATATTACTTTCTTTGGACGAGAATGTCAAATGTGTTAGGAATTCAAAGTAGGAAGTTGGTCACTAACCAACACTTTATTTAAAGAATCAAACAACCCCCCAACCCCTTTCATAAAAACAAGCTTCATTCATAAATCACCTACTTATTTCTATCTACTTTTTTTTTTCAAAAGTTTATAAAAACACGGAAATGTTTAAATAAGAAATGTAAAACAGCTGAGAACGTATCACTGAATGATTCATATATTAATTATTGATAAACCCGAAAACAAAATCCATAAAAATTTGAATATGCATATATGTATAATAAACCCCTTTTTTGTACTAATGATTCATGTATATGCATACGTTTTCGGTCTGTTTGTTTCTCTTACGTAAATCTCCTTATATAAATATATTTGTTAAAATATAATTTAATACCCTAAGTTAAAAGAACGAACCATTGAAATATTTTCGAGTTTTTTTCGCCGTCTTCAATCATATTTTCTTCGTATTCGTTTGACGTGGGATTTGCTATTTTAAATAAATGTACAATTCGCTAAGGTGGCGTTTGTTTTTTAAGAGGTTCTGAAGTCTGAAGTCTGATTTCACTTCTGAATTTTAAGAGTTGGTACTGAAGTCTGAAATCTGAATATGTCAAACTGTTTGTTTTTACGTCTGAAATCTGAATCAGTCAAGTTTTGGATCTGATAGATTTGGATCGATCTGGGTCATGATTTTACGAGAATATGTGGATCGATCTGGGTCATGATTTTACGAGAATATGTGGATCGATCTGGGTCGTGATTGATTTGGAGATCGAATGTCTTCCGAGATAGATTTGGAGGACTAAATCTGGAGGTGAGGATGGAGGGGAGAGTTTGGAGGGAGCGATTAAGAGGATTTAAGTGATTATGTTATCACTTTTTTTTCAGAGCAAATTAAGAGCTTTTTAACTCTTATTTATATAAAAAAAAAACAAACGGTCTGAAAATAAAAACATCTGACCGGTTCAGACTTAAGAAGCATTAAGTGGTTTTTTTAAAAAAACAAACAAGCCCTAAGTTTTAATTTTGCAATTAAATTGACGAATTGGTATTTTTAATAACTATTGTGATTTTAATCATTTTATATATTAAAAACTTTTACCAACATAAAACAACCGAAAAAAAGTTGATATTAGTTATGTTAGTATCCAATATAATTGATTGATATATGGTATAAGATTTTACTTACCAATCATGAATAATTGATAGATTCACGAGATTTAGGGAGAAAAACTTGATACTCACCAAAATAAATCAAAAGTTGGATTATTTTTAAATGGAAGGAGTATAGAAATAAGACCCTAATTTCGTCACAGAATATGTTTGAATGTCGTTTTGTATGAACCCATTTTGTTATAAATTTCCAAAACAAAACCCATTTTTATTCAACATTAAGCTTACTTAGCCCTTTCACTTCCCATGTCCTCTCTCTCTCTCTCTCTCTCTTTCTCTCCACCTATACATACACATATACATATACATATACAACTAGGATCCTAGAGAGAGAAAACAAGAAACAACAACAATGGGTGTGTTTTCCTTCCATAAGATGATGGTAGTCCTAGGATTACTTGCTTGTTTCATCATGGCTAATCATGTCGAAATCGGTCACTCGTTGCATGTGGAACGGTTAGCTAGCGGTGGAGCTCGGGATCGCGATTCTCACGTTAGAAAATTGCAAGAATTTAAATCGTATTTCTTCCGACGCGAACACACTACGGTCTCACTTTCTTCGTCTTCATCTCCATCTCCATCTCCATCTCCATCTTCGCCCGTAAGTATCAATTAATCCAAAGTCGTTATTCATTTTGCATACGTTAATTTTCTATCTTTGTATGTTTTCGTTTAGTTTTAATCTTGTTTCATTATATCTTCACTACAAGAAATCAATGTTTTACGGTAGTGGATTCCCAATGGAAAGAGATCCGTCGGAATGGTAAGTGTGGTATTTTAGCGGCAAATTAGCGACGGATTTACTTTTATCGTTAACCTCTTGGTAATCTGTCGCTGATTTGTCACATTTTTTTGTTAGACATGGGTCGATAAGCGTTCGGTGATCCATCGGAAACTTCCAAGAAACGATCCCGTCGATAATTTATGTCGTTGAAACTAACATTTCTAGTAATGAACGTTTTACGATCGACATTTTTAATTAACAATGAATGTTATTTTCGCTTTTTACTATTTGAACACGACTTTATTAACGATGAATGACTTACGAGTTTGATACGATAAGATCTAAACTCGTAATCGTTGGTAAAAAAAAAATCCATCATTCGTGTCTTGATATCAAAGCCGATAGTTACGCCCGTTGAGGTAAGATACATTTGGCAATGTAAATTTCTTGATCAGATAACTGTAAGTATCTGGGACAGCTTGCATGCTATGCTATGATGATCTGGCTCTGAATTTAAGAGTCAAACAAATCTCTCAGGATAGAAATACAGTTGAGCTACCCCTAATAGTTAGAAAATCATAAATTGAAATAGCAAAAGTTAAAATTCGTGATGTTATACAGGGAAGAACCGGTTCAGGAGTTTTTCCGGTGACCGCTTACGGTGCAGATCCAACCGGAAAAACCGATAGCACGGATGCGATTCTTGAAGCGATTTCGGATGCGGTTTCCGGCAACGGAGATGGGTTTTTGATGGAAGGAATTAGGAACCTCGGCGGCGTACAGATAAACCTTGAAGGGGGGGTTTACAAGATCAGCCGGCCGATTAAACTTCCGGTCGCCGGCCGAGGGAACATGCAGGTATCATCAAAAATATTGTTTTTCTTAATTAGTAGTTTAATGGGTTTAATATATCCTTGTTTGGTAATGATTTAATGATATAAAAAGTAAATTATTTAGTAAGGTTTTATGGGATAGCTTTTTGCAGAAAAGTTAAAAAAAATCAAACATCTTTCGTCGAATTAAAAAACATATTTCTTTCATCTGTTAGAAAACTTGCCCAAATAAAAAAAATTCAGTTTATACAGGCATCAAACAGTTTTATTCATACAAGATTTAATGGAAAATCAATCAAATAGCCTCTAAAATTTAAGATAAATTATATTATTTCATATGGGAAAATAATATTGTTAATTCATCCAGAGTTATATTCATATAAGACTTAATGAAAAATTAATTGATGAATCAAAAACCTCTGAGATTTAAGATAATATCATATTACACTAAAGTGTAAGATTTTAGATATATTTCTTTTTATTCTTCTAATAGGTGTAAATGAATAGTACTACACCATATTTAGTATAAGATTTAGGGCATGCTTATTAGGATCTTAATGATACTCACAGCTTATCCGATCAGCAATACATGACTGTTTCGTAGTGGCTTAATGATGTTAAAAGTGACTTATTCCATAAGCTTCTAGAGGAAAAGTTTATGCGAAAAACCAAGTTTTTTTTTTCCAAACATATCTCTCCCAATTAAAAACAAACTCCGTTCATCTATGAAAAAACTCTTACAAACAAAAACATTTTCAATCTAGACAGACAAATTTGAACTTTTTATTTACCTATTTAATAACAAGATGATGTAGGGTTGGGTTCACGTGACACCAACCTGTTTTCGTGAGACCACTCTTTTACACGTGAAAACTCACAGCAAAATATTGTGAATGTTCGACTTTTTTTACCTTCACAGTAAATCTGTCTGTGAAGTTTCAAGTATAAAAAAATGATTTCACGAGTATCAAGAAGACAGACTGATCTCACATGATCCAGTTGGGATGATGTTCTAAACATTTTATTTTTATTTATAAACAGATATATGGCGGGACTCTAAAAGCATCTGATAACTTCACAACCGATGGCTACTTGATAGATTTGTCATTTTCTTCTTCTTCGAATCGTGATTACAGTTACGAGTTCATAACGCTTAGAGACTTAATGGTGGATTGCAATTTTAAAGGCGGCGGAATTCGATTGATAGACGCCCTCAGAACCACCATCGACAACTGTTACGTCGCCCATTTCACCACCACCGGAATCCTAGTACAAGGCGGTCACGAGACTTACATCCGCAACTCGTTCCTAGGCCAACATATCACCGCCGGCGGTGACCCTCACGAACGCAACTTCACCGGCACCGCCATCGACCTACAGGGAAACGACAATGCCGTCACGGATGTCGTAATTTTCTCGGCGGAAGTCGGGATCGCAATTTCCGGCCAAGCGAACATGATCACTGGCGTACATTGCTACAACAAGGCTAATGGTTTTGGTGGCATCGGAATACTTTTAAAGGTACCCGGAATTACACAGACTAGAATCGTTAATTCTTACTTTGATTACACCGGAATAGTGGCAGAAGATCCGGTACAACTTCACATTTCCGATTGTTTCTTCCTCGGGGACTCGTTTATCGTTCTGAAGTCCGTTCGTGGAGTTGTGAACGGGATAAACATCATAAATAACATGTTTTCCGGCTCAAATAAAGGAATTGATATCGTTCAGTTGGATCAAACAAACGAGGAGTTCAAAGAAATAGGTCATGTGGTTGTTGACAAGAATAACGTGAACGGGATGAACCTCAAGGCGACCATTGCTAAAGGCGTAACAAGAGTCAATGGGACCTCGTGGATCGTCGATTTTAACGAGATACTTCTTTTCCCTAGACGTATACGATTTGTGCAGCATGCGTTGTTGACGGGCGCAAGTAACTCATTTCCCAACACTGTTTTACGCAATATCTCAAATAATCAAGTACTGATCGAGTCCGATACGATAGTTGAAGGAAGTGTGTCCGTCAGTGTCGATCAAAGTCCATCGATCTCGAGTTAATCTTACGTATTTAGTTATATATAGAGATTTGTTGCGGGAATGCATCCGTCGTAATAGAAATTTTATAGAACGAAATATAGTCGAATTTCCATCTTCTTACCAGTTAGGCTAAAACCGTGGGGGCACAAGGATACAACTTTTCCTAAATCATCTCTCATATTTGTTTCATCTTCTCTAAATAAGCGAAACCACCAAAATGAACATGTCCAATATCCCACTCGAAAACGGTGGTAAACTCGGGATTTTTGTCGAGCGGTTGCATTTTTAGAGTGGATTAGAGCATCTCCAATCGACCGACAATTTTAGGGATTTGCCGTTTGTGAGCTCTCCAATCAGCCGGCAAATGAATTTAGATTTTGCCGGTTCTCTTATTTGAACGGCAAATATATCGTGGGTATCTTGAATGGCAAAACCAGGTGGGACCCGTTAATTTGTATTAAAAACCATTTTTTATTTAATAATTTAGGAATAAATAACATAAATGTTTTTTTTTTGTTTTTATATATATTATGTAGATTAATATATATATATATATATATATATATATATACTATTTTATAATGCATTTGGCTAAAACTCTTAAACTCTTAATCTCTTAAACTCTTAAAAACAACTTATATTGCTTTAAGTACAACCTACTAAAGCATACTATCATCCCTGAACCTAATTCAACCGATTTTGGTGAAATCCCTAACCCAAATTCGATTTCATCTCAAAATCTCTCCTATCCCTAAACCATCGCCAATCTCCCTAAATCCGTATAAYAGACTTTGATGAAATCCCTAACCCAAATTCGATTTATCAAATCTCTCCTATCCCTAAACCATCGCCAACARATTGTGATGAAATYGMTAACCCAAATTCCCCCAAAATCGATCTCATCTCAAAACTCTCTCCTATCCCTAAACCCAAATCGATTTCATCGCCAACAGACTTTGATGAAAACAGACTTTGATGAAATCCCAAACCCAAATTCGATTTCATCGGTTCCAACAGAGATGCATATATATTTCATCCATATTTTCAATCCATTAGCATATGTCATCCTCAACAAACTTCAAACAGAGGAGGTAATCTATTTCTCTCATATTTTTTGCAGGGTTTCGATTCATTGAAGATAAGACACACAGCAGGTAGGGTTTTTGTAATTTCTTGTTGAAGGTAAAACCATTTTGACTTTTGTTGATGAACAATCGTAATTGTGTTGCAGTCGTAACTGGGTCGATGTCAAATATTCCTTTTTTTCTTACTGGGTTTCGATTCATTAATGATAAGAACATACTCTGATCTTAGGTCTATTGGGTCGATTTTGGGTAATTTAATGGCATTTTTGCCTTCAGTCTCATTAAATATATGGATATCAACACAAATGAAGAATGTATAAATGTAAGAAATCAGCCATTTAGGTATTAAGTATCAGTCCTGTTTCAACCGTATGTATTCGGTTCAACAAATTTGTTATATTTTCATAGGTTGGAAAGTGAAAACTTAAATTAATTACACCGTATTCCATATAAGAAAAATGATAAGTCCGTAAAATGATAGATCAAGGCCATGTTTGGCAACTTTTTGGGTAGCTATCTTTGAGCTTATCTATATCTGTATAATCTTATAAATCAGATTTGATAAATGTCTCAAAAACAATCTTCAATGCATAAGATGATGCTACTTCTTTATGCATAAAGTCTTAAAAACAATAATTTATGCCTCATGTACAAGTTAACAGTGCTACATTCACACTCCTCTGAGAAGATTATCTTCCCAAGACAACTCTCATTGCTCCAAATGTTCTCATAAAAGTTGGGTCTTTTGGAAGTGRCAGTTTCTCATAAAAGGTGAATCCCTTTGGTAACCTTAATCCTRAATGTGGGGTTCTTCATCACCTAATAGCAGAGACAAAAGAAAATCCCCTCATCCTCAATTCAACCCCATTACTGTATGTATCCCTTTATTTCATTGCAGAAATTTAAATTTTTTTGAATGTGTTTTGACAAGTTTGTTGGTTCTTGATTGGTTGTAGAATGATAAAAGAGAAGAAAGAAATAATGAAAAGAAACAGAGAATTGAAGCCAATTGAAGGGGGAATCAAATGGAAAAACAAGCAAAAGAGAATTCTATTGATAGTGGAGGAGGATGTCCTACTAAAGACAACAACTACATTCATATGAGAGCCAAAAGAGGTCAGACTACAAACAGTCACAGCCTTGCAGAAATGGTATAAACAAGTATTGTCCATTTCCATTACAAACTTTTTAGAATGATCAAATTCATAGGGGTTTGATTTCATTCATTCCATTTAGGTTCGGAGAGAAAGGATCAGCGAGAGAATGAAACTGCTTCAAGAACTTGTTCCTGGTTGCAATAAGGTATTATTCTCTTTCAATTCTATTTTTTATGAGTCTGTTTGTCTGATCAGATGGATGTTGTACATAGATGCAGTTTATATCTCCGTAGCAAACACAATATATTCATTAGAATTTCAAAAATAATAAACTAGAAAAGAAAGATAAATGAACCGGATAAAGGCCTTCATAATTTTTTTCAACTGGTACATCAAATCTTTGGATTCTTAATTCTCCTTTTGATGGAGCCGGATTTTGGTTAAGAAAAACATCTCAATTTTACAAACAGATTTCCAATGTCGTTTGAAGTACAATGCATGATTTTGGTGGTTTTTTAGTTAAGTTATTTTCATTGAAAATGGCTTCTACATTGATATTTCACTTCTGTCTACTTAAAAGTTAAAAGATTCCTGAAATCATCAAAATATGTTTTGTGTGTGTTCCAATAACATTGTCCCCTCTATATATTCCCTTCACTTTCACTTGCGTCCATCTTATTATACAGTTGGTATTTTTGGAAAAAGGTGACGGAACCCSTAGGAAAACTTTATTCATTATACAGTTGATTTGAGTATTTTTTTTATCTTCCTAGAATCTAATGGTATATCTATCTGATTATTTAAGGAAGTACGAAAAAATTAGTTCTCCATGTGTTGAGGACTTCTGTTTCATCACAGACAGCACCTACACTAGACAAGAGGTACATTCACTTACTGCTACTACTATAGATTTACTTTAATACTTCTAGCATATGACAATATAAGCTTAGGTAGGTCTTSTAAATGAGGCAAGAGATATTGAGCATTCTGAAAACCAAATTGTGTAAGTCTAAAGGCTAACGACTACCTTTTACTTATCAGGTACCGGACATGKAGTGTCAAGTTCTGGACATATTGAGCTTTCATCTTTTTGTTCCAAATGTAAAAAGTTCCTTAGGTAAAAAACAACACTTCCACTCTATGTTAGAAACATAGAGTGGAAGTGTTTTATCATTTGCAAATGTCTAAAGGCTTATGATGTTTTATCATTTGCAGAGAGAGCAACATTGGAATTGAAATACCAGAAACTGTACGAGCCACTGTATTCAAAGGTATACGAGTTTTCTTATGTCTGGTCATTGTCGGATTGACATATGGTCATTGTCCTTACCGTGTTTACATTGTATGTTGCATTTGTAGGCTGTTCTTTTTTAAAATTAATGGGATGGGGAGGGATATAGGTCAGCAAAATCATTTATTCGTGGGATCTTTAGTTTGTTGACTATGCGGGCTACTTGCGTGCCTAATGAAATTTTCAGAAAATTTACCTTTTTAGCATTCCATTTCTCATGATGTCACTTCCAAGTGCCACATCTTACAATGGGAGGGGAAGAAGATTGGTGAACTGTGAGAATGAATAAGATAACCGAAGAAGTAATAGGCAGTTTTGAAAAGTACAAACAGATCTAAAGGGCCGTTTACTAAACACTTACTTGATAAGTACTTACCGGATAAATTTCCTCATCGGATGAACATGAGGAGGGTCAAGAATCTTACCGGGTAAGGGCAATGAGAATGATGGAGAGTCTTACCCGGTAAGTGATGATGACGACTCTTACCCACTAAATTGTTGCATTCAATATGTTTTGATATATTAAAATCTTACGCATTAAAATAAATCATAGTGTTGACTCCTATCGGTAAGTGCTTACCGGGTAAACAATTGGGTAAACAGCCCCTAAGTTAATTGACACTTGAATAATATTGTCATAAAGAAAAACGAACAGTAGGGAAGAAATGCTTTTCAAACCTTAAATGTTTTGTCACAAAACACTTTTTTCATTTTTAACTGGCTAAACAAGGCATAAAAAGCTAAGTTTGTATGTGTTTTTGAATGCTTGCCTACCTTGCCCTTCCCATCCATCTGGAGTAAGATGCATGTGGGTAATAGTAGAACTTCAAGATCTAACACATATACATCAGAAGGTTTATTTTTATAACTCACTCTCACAAGACATCGTTTGTAAGACGTATCAGTGCTCACGAGTTCAAGAAGTTTTTGGTAGATTGAAAATTATATAGAGAGGATATYCATGTTTTACCCAAGCTGCCTATAGGAATTTGGAATAAAAGATGTTGAGAACAAAGGAGATAGAAATACTTGTCTACAAAGAGATAGAACTATTRCCATATATAAGAATGGTTTCCTAATTAATTGCTGACAAAGACTTTGGACATGATCTTTGGTCATTCTTCCTTTTATTATTAACAKTGTAGCCAATGTATGTATGATGCAACAGCCTTGAATATGGGCAGAACATGATAAAGTGAATGATGTTGTTGAATTTGCTCTAAATACTATTGTGTATACTAAACTATTATCTTTTGGAACTACAGAGATATGATATAGTGAATGGTGTTGTTGAAGTTGGAGAGAAGGATGAAGCTGCGATAGACCAGACACATAGTGATGCTATTAGGGGTCGTTTACCTAAACACTTACCCGGTAAGCACTTACCGGTAAAATTCAACACTATCGCTTACTTACCGGGTAAGATTTTATTCACTGAAATGCATTGTGTGCAACAATTTATCCCGGTAAGCGCTAACCTTGGTAAGAGTCCTCCTCCTCACTTACCGGGTAAGACTCTCGATTACTGTCTTTGCTCTTACCGGGTAA